TGTATAGGGCTTCAGAGGAGCCACTGGTGGGTTTGAACTGCTGATTTTGCAGTTAACAGTCCAGTGCTTATCCTGCAGGGTCATACCAGGCCTCTTGGTGCCCAGCTGATCATCTTGGCAGAACTACTGACCTAAAGGCCAGGTATAGAGAAACTTGTGGCCAGCGTCCATGGCTCTGGTCTCTGGCCTTTACAGAGGACAGCTGTGGTGAACATCCCTGTCTGTGCCTCTTTGGGGCACACGCATGCATCCCTGCAGGCCAATGTAGTTGGACCAATTTTGCCTTTCTCTCTTCCTCTCTGCCCACAGCAGCCCTTTCCTCAGCTCTGCTGCTGTGTGTGTGTCAGCTGCAAGCTTAGCAGTTAGATATCCTCACACATAACAGCCAAATCCCTGGCTGGCGCTTATGGTTGGCATATTCTGCCACTAAATCACAAGGTTGGCAGTTCAAGTCTACATAGAGGCACTTTGGAAGAAAGTCCTGATCTGTTGAAAAAGTTAGCCTTTGAAAGTCTTGTGGAGCCCAGTTCTCCCTGACACATGTGGTGTCTTCATGAGTCAGAGTTGGCTCAGTAGCAACTTTTCATGTATAAAATCAGAGTAAATAAGCTCTGAGCAGATCCCCGTGAAAAAACTGCAGGAATTTTAACTGCCTGACTTTTTTTTAATAGTTGATATTTGGTTACTAGCTTCCTTCTGGGATCCTTGGGTGTGTCTTTGACTGAGGTCATCATTTGTCCCAGCTCCAGATAGGCAAAATGTGGCTGTGCGGCATAGGGACTTGAAGAGTTACGATTTTATAAGCATTTGGGCCATTTGTCAAAGAAGGTAAAATTATATCAGAGCAGTAAAGTCCATGTAAGGAGCCCTGGGGGGCAATGGTGAGTGTCAGTTTGTCATATTGTGGTGGCTTGCGTGTTGCTCTGAATGCTGAAAGATATGCCACTGGTATTTTGAGTGTCGGCAGGATCACCCGTGGTGGACAGGTGTCAGCTGAGCTTGCAGATCAAGACAGACTAGGACTCCTGGGGTGGGGTTGTGTGATAAGCACTGGATTGTGGACCACAAGGCTGGTGGTTCAACCCACCGGACACTCCCTGTAAACCCTGTGCAGGGTTGCTGTGAGTCACAATCTACGACACGTAACGACGACAAAGGAAAAGACACGAAAACTACTTTCAAATGTTTAGCCACTAGAAACCTTTTAATAGCAGTGAAACGCTGTCCGATAGCACCTGAATACTGAAACATGATGACACGTACCAGAATGTTGTCAGATAGAGTGCTGGAAGATGAACCCTCAGGCTGGAAGGCACTCAAAATGCAACTGGGGAAAAGCTGCCTCCTCAAAGTTGAGTTGACCATGATGACAGGATGGAGTAAAACTTTCAGCACCTTTATTTCCTGATGGAACCCAACTCAAAATGAGGAGAAACCCCTATCTACAGCCATTCACAGTAGCAGCAGCAATGCACTCAAGCACAGCAGTGGTGAGTGAGGAGGACGGAGGACCAGGCAGTGTTTTGTTGTGTTGTGCACCGGGTCACTATGGATCGGAAATGACTTGACCACAACCTAACCACAGCAGCAGTAGTAAAGCAATAGAACTGGGAGTTTTGCATGAAATTGGAATTGCTGTGGCTGCTGGGTGTTATGAAACTGTCAACTGTGGGATTCCTGGACTCAGAACAGAGGGCTGGGGGGCAGTGTAGAATTCCGCTGCTGCAGCTGGAATCCAAGAACAAGTCTGAACAAGAATGTGGGTTTTATTCCCTCCAGTCCCTCCTGATGCCATCGTCTGCCTGCACAAAAGCCTCTGACCGACTGCTGGACACTGCTGCAGCGGGTGGGTGCAGTCCAGGCGCCTGGTCAGCTGTCTCAGCACGGCTCTGGGGTCTGGCTTTGCCCCATCTCACGGGTGTTGGGCTTCCTTCCCTGCCCACACTGGGAACCCAGGTGTTCTCACTACACAATACTTGCCCCTTCCTGAGTGGACGGACACCTGAGTTCAGAGAGAAGAGGCTGGGCTCCCAGGGAGAAAGTGGACGGACACCTGAGTTCAGAGAGAAGAGGCTGGGCTCCCAGGGAGAAGGACATCCCCTTGAGCTTCGTTAGTCTCTACTGTTGTTTGTTATAAGTCATTTATCTTTGTTGTTGAGAATATACACAGCAAAACACGGGTTCAATGGTTTCTAGGTCCAATTCAGTGGCACTGGGTATTTATATTCTTCCAGCTGTGCAGCCATTCTCCCTCCTCTTCCTCTCCATTCCTCCGCCTTTCACATGAGCTCACTGCTCCCTCGGCTTCCTCTCTGACCTTTGGAGTTGCTCTTGTCAACTTGTCCCCATTGAGCACAGTGCTGACATTCTTTACTGGTGAAGCGAGACTGGTTGGATTTAAAGAAGACTTCAGTAGCTATTTTTGATTTGAGGTTTAAAGATGATCTTAGGGCAGCAGTTTCAGGGAATCATCTAGCCTCCGTGGTTTTAGAAAGTCTGGATCCTGTGAGATTTTGATTCTGTTCCGCATTTTCCCCTTTTTGATCAGGATTCTTCAAGGGGATCCCTGATTAAAATATTTAGTTATGGTGGCCAGCCGCTCCCCAGTTCTGGTCTCTTGGCAAAGGCAGTTGTTCAGAGAGGCAATTAGCCACACATTCCATTTCTTCTCCAGTTCCTGACTCCTCCTGCCTCTGTTGCTCCAGGCCAAGAGAGATCAGTTGTTAAGCCTTGGATGGCCGCTTACCAGCGTTTTAGACCCCAGGCACTTCTCTACAAAGTAGAAGGTAGAACAGAAGCATTAAACATGAAACAAGCACTAAACTTGTAATCAGACCAGTTAACTGGGATGGCCTAAGAAACTGGGACTCTAATGCCCCAGACTAAGGCAGCCAATCCCGGAAGGAGGCTTGTGTCTGAACAGCAGCCGCCTCAGCAGCGGGCCCTGTTTTTTGGTCCTTGTCACTCGATCACGGCTCTGTTTAAGTCTACTTTTTATAGGAAGTTACAATGTACGGACAGCAGTCATCGCCTGTGCAGCTCTCTGCTGCAGCAGTGTGATGGTGCTATCACCACTAACGGGGGCTCTCCGGGGCTCCACAAGCAGTCTGTGGCTGGTTTGCTGAGCAGTTCGTGGAAATGGGCTTTTGATTTTTTTTTTTTTTTTTCCAACTCCACATCAGTCTCTCTTCTCCCCCCCTGTGTCTGGCATGTTGGTTGCAACTCCTGGCAACCCCTTGTGTGCAGAGTAGAACTGTGCAGGGTCTTCACAGCTGGGGCTACTGTGCCTACATGATGGATCTTTCTATTCCGTTCCAAGGTGCCTGTGCATGGGTTGGAACTGCTAGCCTTGGCCTTGTAGTTGAGCACTTAGCTGTGTATGCAGTGCCTCACCCCACCCCCTCTTTTCCACCTCTAAGTCTAAGACAGACCAGGACAGATCAAAGAGTTCTTTATCTACTTCCTGTTGGTCTTTAGCCTACAGACTTTGGTTTGCAGAGTCTGGTAGCGTAATGGTTATGAATCGGGCTGCAAACTGCAAGGTCAGCAGTTCGAAACTACCAGCTGCTCTGTGGGAGAAAGATGAGGCTTTCTGCTCCCGTAAAGATTTACAGCCTCAGAAACCCTGTACAGGGTCGTTATGAGTCGGAACCGACTCCACGGCACATAACAACAACAACAACAACTACTCCTGCACTCAGAAACCCCTTTCCCTTAGTGCCACTGTGCGGCAGAGTGGACTCAGTGACAGCGGGTGTGATAGGGTGTGCTCTGGAAAGAGCAGTAGCTGGGATTCCTGTCCCCTAGTTGTTAAGGGCCGTCGAGTCGCTTCCAACCCACAGCGTACCTGTACAGGGTTTCCGAGGCTGTAAATCTTTCTGGAATAAGAAAGCCTCATCTTTCTCCCGTGGAGCAGCTGGTAGTTTCGAATGCTGACCTTGAGGTTTGCAGTCCGATTCTTAACCCCTACGCTACCAGAGATCCCTAGTAGGATCCCGTAGAATGGCCAATGGATCCAACTGGGGTCCCCGAATAACTTGGTAATGCCTACTGGCCTGGGCTGTTTACAGTGTAGCAATGAGGAATATTGTTCAGGAACGTGGGGCCTAGAGACCAGTTTGCCATCCTGGGAGAGGGGCCTCCTTTCCTGAGCTCTCACTGTGCATTCTGGAAAAGCAGACCTTGCAGATGGGCTCCCCACAGGGATAGTAGCGCGTCAGCATGCTGTGTTTGATTTATAGGGTGTTTGTTATTTTAATATCTGAAAAATAACCCACATTTTCTAATAGCAGCTTTTCTATAGTCCTGTCATGGGTCTGCCCCCAGGGCCAGGACAGTTGCTTCCTGTGTGGTTGTCTACTGCAACAATGAGGCTCCTACCTCATCCTCAGGATCCGCTTGTGGATCGGATTGTTGCAATCTATAGTTTTCATTGGCTGGCTTTTGGAAGTTGGCCTTTCTTCCTTCGTCTGTCCACCCTGGGTGACCCTGCTGGATTTGAGATACCCGTGGCCTAGCTTTCAGCCTCACAGCAACACACAAGCACTGCACCCTGGCAGACACATGTACAGATGGTGGGTGGAGGTGCCCTCTAGCTTTCTGCCAATCCGCCCACTCCCTGGAGTCAGCCTGGTGCCTCAGCTAGCTGCTCCTTGGTTTTATTTTCGAGCTTATCTGTTTTTTTTCCTGTGTTCCACCCACTTCATTCTTTCTTGTTATCTGCCTCCTTGTCTCCCCTCCCCTCCCCAGAGACCCATACATGCACATTGATTTGAGTTTGTGACCCCCCTCCCCACACTGGACAGTCTGGTCCTGACCTGGAAGTTGGTCACCTAGAAAGGTGTTTTTGTTTTTTGTTTTCTTGTTTTGCAAAGATAAGAATAGTAATGGTGTGGGGCAATCCTTCTCTGCCTCACTCCCCCTGAGGAATGTCTGATCCAGTTCCCACATTAACCTGGTTGGAGTGAGCCATGCTTAGCAATCATTGTCTTTCATTTCAGGTCACCAAGAAGTGCGTCAAAGGATCTACAGAGAAGAACCAGATCCGACTGCAAAGAGTAAGACATTAGCCTGAAGTAGGCAGGTAGCTCACCGGGCTTGCTGCATTAGACATGTGCAGAACCCTTTGTGCTTCCCTGGCCAGTGTGGCCCTCTCCCCTGCCGTCCTGGGGCTTTGATTCTTGCTACTGAACCCTGAGGCCTTTTCTGTGCCTCTGTTGTTATCGCCAGTACTCCCAAAGCAGAGCCAGTGCAGTTGACTCGATTGGACTCATAGTGAGCCGAGGAGGACCGAGTCCAACTGCAGCTCCTTAGGGTACCTGAGACTCCATCTTTACAGGAGCAGAGAGCCTCCTCTTACTCCTGAAGAGTAGTAGCTGGTGGGGTTTGAACCGCCACCCTTGCAATTAGCAGTCCAATGCTTAACCCACACCATCACCAGGGCTCCTTTTTACTTGTAATATACAGACAGTGGGGCCAGTCCTCTCATCAGCTACCCCGCCTTTGTGCCCCATCCCCACCCTGGGGAGGAGTTGGAGTCAGTGGTGAGTGTTCCCTGATGCAGCCAGTCTTGTGTAGCCATGTAGGTGGCGTCTGCCTTATTGTCACAGAGAGGAGACAAGACCTGGCAGCTCACAGAAGGGGCCCTGGGGACCACTGGCACCACATGTCGTCGATACCTGCTTCTGGCCTGCACTGTAGTTTTTTGTACCTCAAATGTTGGTGTCTGTTTTACACTTCACCCCTACTTCACCAGAATCCCAACTCAGACACAGGGGGTGGAAATCTCAAGTACAGCCAAATCGATCTGCGCTCCCCGTGGTTTGGAGAAGCTTTCTGTTTTCTTGAAAGAGCCTTGGTTGACACAGTGGGCTAAGCATCAGGTTGCTCACCTCAAGGTCAACAGTTCAAACCCACTAGTCTCCATGAGAGAAAAATGTGGCTGTCTACTCCTGTACAGCTGGGACAGTCTCGGAAACCACATGAAGACTTCTATTCTGCTCTGTAGGGTTGCTTTAAGTCTGATTGAACTTGATGGCTGGTGGTTTGAATTTTTTCAGTTTTTGTAATTCACACCAGGACAGGCCCTGAGATGGCTAGACCGGCCCTTACTCCATTGTCCATCTATGAGGTGGAGATGCAGGAGGTGCTTAGATATGAACTGATAGTTCTAGAATAACTCTGCGCCCAGGCTACATGCTGATTCTCTGGGATGCGGAACAGCTGAATGAAATGCTGTGTTCTGCTTCAAAGACACTAAAAGACACTAGTTGGGGGCGGTTTCCGACCACACTGAGATGACCGAGAGGACAGAAGCCCTGGGGGTTTCAGACTGTCTTCATGGGAACAGACTACAGCTGTGGTGGGCTTGAACCACTGGCCTTTCAGTTAGCGCCCACTGTACCATTGTAGTGTCTTCTCCTTTCTTTTATGTTTTCTCATTTCGTCCCCACAGTTGGGTGCTGTACCCAGCAGGCTTCCTGTCCTCCCTGCACCCCAGTCTTGTGTTTCAGAAGAAAAAAGGTGACCCTGTAGCCTGACCTGGTGCTTCTGGGGTGGGTCAGGGAGGGGAGTCTTGTTCTTAAAGGGAGAAGAGGTCAAACCTCTAGGTGTCTTTAGATTATTTGCCCTTAACTCATGTGCTTCTTCCCCCCACCCCCCATACTTTTATCTTTCTAACTGTGGTGAAAAAAATATATATGTGTAAGCAAACGTTTGCTAATTCAGCCAATGTCACCTGCACAGTTGATTGACATTGATGATGCTCCTCACCCAGAAACCCGTGTCCCCACTGTTCCACTTTGCTGTCTGTTCCTCTGCCTATTTCAGTAATTTGCCCTTTTGCAATGGACAAAAAGCTGGTGGGCAATGCCATCCTGTTTCTCATTCCATTTGCCCATGAGCTTTGTGGCACCCCCTGTATTTGCTCAGCAGGATGCCTTCAAGGGTCATCCATGTTGTGGCTCACATCAGGACTTCATTCCTCTTGCTGCTGAGAGAAATATGGCTCCCACCTAAGGGGGAGCCTACAGAGACGGCCCAGAGAGAGCTGTGTCCCCCCTCCCCCAACACACACATACACACACACACACACACACACACACACACACACGCTCTTGCTCCAGGTTTAAAGATAGGTTCTCTTAAGAGCATCTGCCCAGAAGAGCTAGTGCTCATCCTTTGCCTCCTGAGTAAAGGAAATGTTGCAGCAGAGGAAAAAGTCCTTCTGGCTCTATGCATTTGGCCTGTGGCTCCCTGGGCAGTGACCCCCAGCTCCTTCCCCTTCAGCCCAAGACTCCCAGGGAGATCTGCAGGAGACACGGTGCAAGCGGAAACCTTGTCTTTTGGCTGTAGGACAAAGAGCGCCTGGGCAAGCAGCTGAGGTTACAAGCGGAGAAGGAAGAGAAGGAGAAGCTGAAAGAGGAGGCCAAGCGGGCCAAGGAAGAGGCCAAGAAGAAGAAGGAAGAGGAGAAAGAGCTAAAGGAGAAGGAGCGGCGAGAGAAGCAGAGGCGCAAGGAGGAGCGGCGCAAGGAGAGGCAGGAGGCGCTGGAGTGAGTGGCTTGGCTGCTGGCCACGGGGCTCGCTTCTGGCCTGGGCCATTCTGATGCACTTCTATTGAAGGCGAGAGCCAGTGGTAACCCTTGAATTCCTGGAATCCCTTCTACTAGTAGTCACATGGGTCACACACTGAGCTGCCTGACGGGGCTCAAGAGGGCTCAGTGCTCCTTCCTTTCTCCATGCCAGTCCTCGTGGTGCCATCGAGATGCCCACTGACACAGCCACCCCATAGGGCACAGTAGACTGCCTCACGGGGTTTCCTAGACTGCAGTCTTTACAAGAGCCGATCATCAGGGTTTCTTCCTCGAAGCTGGTTTGAACCCCTGCCCTTTCAGTCAGCAGCCAAGCACTTGACTCGTACGCCACTGGTTAGCTAATGTGGACTTCTGTGTGTTGCAGGGCTAAACTTGAGGAGAAAAGGAAAAAGGAGGAGGAGAAACGGTTAAAAGAAGAAGAAAAGGTAGTGTTTTTTCAGTGGCCTCCATGTCCAGTCCCTGCTGTTCGCTGGGCCCAGCTCAGGTCCTGGGGCTTCCTGGGCAGGGAGCAGGTGACTGCTCAAAAGGAGAACAACTGATAACCAACTGTCAATCTCCAGGTTTAGAGAGCCAATGTCCCCAGATAATGCTGCGGGGTCCCTTCAGAGGCCACTTCCTCCTTGTCATCTTCTCTCATGTTTGCAGCGCATCAAAGCCGAGAAGGCCGAGATCACGAGGTTCTTCCAGAAACCAAAGATCCCACAAGCCCCCAAGGTGAGCCCTTGTCCTTGTCCTCTTCTCCCCCGACCCCCGACCAGACCCTGTAGGCTTTTGCTTTTAAAGACTGCATGGAGTCCTTGGTGATGCTCTCTCCCGCCCCACCCTGGCAGCGGCTCTCTGTCCTCCAGTTGCCTTTTCCAGCCTCCTGTCAGGGCGCCCCCAGCAAGTAGCCTGTTCGTGTGGGGTGGGCACCAACAACTGAGTAGGGTTCCGCTACTTCTCTGGATTTCAGACCCTGGCCGGCTCCTGTGGCAAGTTTGCCCCGTTTGAGATTAAAGAGCACATGGTCCTGGCCCCGCTCTGCCGGGCGGCCTTTGACCAGGACCTCTGTGACCAGTTAGACCAGCTCCTCAAGCAGCAGAGCGGCAGCTTCTCCTTCCTGCAAGATCTGAAAGGCCGGCAGCCCCTCAGCTCTGGGCCAACTGTCGTTTGTAACCGGAGCATGGGCACCTTCAACAGGCAAGTGCCCAAGGACTGCCCTGCTCCTCCACTGGGTGAGGTCAGAGAACCACTGAGGGGCCAGACATGCAGCCTGGGCTGGGGGCCTTCGGCCTCTGCTCTGATGCCTTTCGGAGCCTCCTGGTGTGCACGGCTCCCTCATCCCCGAGGTTTTCTTACTCTCACTTCTACTCATGGGGCAAAAACACCAGTTAACTTTGAGCCAACTCCTGGTGTCCTGTGTGTTATAGCAGAACCGCTTGATAGGGTTTCCTTTGGCTGTAACCTTTCCAGAGCAGATTGCAGGCCTGTCTTCTGTGGCAACAACCTTTCAGCTCCTTGTCCAGCTCGTAACTGTTTGTGCCACAAGGGATTCGCTCATATTGTCTTCCCTGTCTTGTGTCCATCCCACTCTGCGACCTCCTTGGTTTGTGCCCCTAAGGAAATGGCCCCTGCATGAAGAGTCCAGCCCTGGGGGGGACTGGCGGCCATGTGCTCCCTTGGCTGAGGGCGGTGTCCTGTCTGTCCCCCAGTGACGTGGTGATTGTGGAGAGCGGCAAATCAGACGGCGATCTCCAGCACAAGAAGTTCGGCAGACTGAAGCTCCTACAGTTCTCCGAGAACCACCGGCCAGCATACTGGGGCACGTGGAACAAGAAGACGGCTGTCATCCGGCCCAGGAACCCCTGGGCTCAGGATAGGGTACGCCTCCTGCTGGCCAGGCAGTCTGCTCTGCCACCTGCACAGGGCCTTGGGAGTCTGGGTGTCCTGCTACCAGATCTGAGCACCGTAAGTGAGGCTACATGTGTCTCGTTTCAGATGCTTCTGGACTATGAGGTGGACAGCGATGACGAGTGGGAAGAGGAGGAGCCGGGGGAGTCCCTCTCCCACAGTGAAGGGGTGAGCCCAGAGCCAGCTTCAATAGCTGGGGCCTGAGCCTCTGGGAGGGTGCAGTGGGCTAGCTTCAACCAAACAACATCTGTCCCCTTGAGGGCGTGAGGGGCACACATGCAGTCCCGCCCAGCCCTCTCACCTGACACCTGTCTGACCCCCAAGCCCCAATGATTCCGAGAGACTAGGCATCTGGTGTCCGTTCTGGCCTTCTTCCCGGAGACATCTGTGGGACCTGGTGATGGACGAAGAGCGTGCTCGGCTTCCGCATGTTGTGAACATTTTCTCCTCTCCAGGATGACGATGATGAGGTGGGAGAGGACGAGGATGATGACGATGGCTTTTTTGTGCCCCACGGGTACCTGTCTGAGGACGAGGGCGTGACGGAGGTAAGGGTCAGAGGGGCATGTGGGATGGCCAGCTCCCGTGGGCTGGTGGAAAGTAGCTGTGGTCCATCTCACAGCCTGGGAAGGCTCCTCTGTGGAAAGAGCTGAGCCTGGACTTGGATCTGCCAGGGTCTGCGGTGGCCAGGACGGTTCTTAGGTAGAACAGAAGTGGCAATAAGTAGGAACACAGATCTGTGTTCACATGACGAGCGTCCCAGAATAAGACGCAGAGTATCCCCAACATACACACACACACAAACTCTCTCTGTTCTGAACCAATCACACTGCCACTTGGATGCCTGGGTGGTGGGAAGACGGGAAAGGCAGGCTGAGGGGGGGCCAGTTTGTACGCCACCGTCAGGCCCGTGGGCATGTGGTCAGCATGCATCTCTAATCCCCTGTGCTCTCATCCAACCCTTGGGTCAATTTGTCTCCATGGCTTCGGATCCCAGGTGTCTGTTGACATGTAGTGGGAAGAGGCCGAGCTGGCTGTGTGGTTCAGGACTGGTGGTTTGATGGCTGTGCAGCCCCAATATCAACCCCAAAACACACAGGTATTGAGAGGCTGTCGGTGAGATGTGCGTTAGAAAACAATCCTGGGGAGTGTAGACCAAGGTCTTCAGTCTAGATCTGTGGTCGGCTCCCTCCCCCCGACAGGACTGCAAGGGTGGGGCACCAGGTTGGGGAGCTGGAGCTACCAAAGATCAGACACGGGGTCGAGAGGAGTGGGGTTTGCCAGGCGGCTTTGCCTTCCACTTGCAGGAGTGTGCAGACCCGGAGAACCACAAGGTCCGCCAGAAGCTGAAGGCCCAGGAGTGGGACGAGTTTCTAGCCAAGGGGAAGCGCTTCCGCGTCCTCCAGCCTGTGAAGATCGGCTGCGTCTGGGCGGCTGAGAAAGCGGACTGCGCAGGTGCTGACCTCAAGGTGCTACAGCAGTTCTCCACGTGCCTGCTGGAAAGGGTGCTGCCTGAGGAGGAGCAGACGCCCAAGGCCTCCAAGAGAGAGAAGAGGGACCATCAGAGTAAGTGCGGGGTGTTCCTTCAGCGTTTTATTGATTAGACGAGAAGTAGTGAGGTCAGCTTCATTAGCAGCTTTGGTCTCCAGGGCCCCTCTGGTGCTGCGAGTGCCTGGATTGTTGCTGTCCTCTGTGTGCGGGCTGGGCTGCAGGAGGAGTTGCTAGGACCCCAGCTGCTATAGCATCTGTTTTGGGCCAAGGCACCCAGAAAAGGAGTCGGGCCACGTGCTTGACCCGTCCAAGAAGCCAGACTATGTCTGGTCCAGAAAACATCCACCCCTTCCACAGTCATGCCCCCCTGTTGCACACCAGTGGTCCATTTTCCCAGTGAGGACACAGTGCCACCCCCGACGCTGGGAGGGAGGGACTCCCCCAGGACAAATGGGGGCAGTGATTCGGATCTTAGTCCAGGTTCTGTAAGCACTGCTGAGGTGTGTGTGTCTGTCTGGACAGACAGTTCAGAGGGTTGGCCCAGACAGCTGGGGGAGGGGAGCGGCCACACAATGTAGTCTGAAGGCAGACAACACCCAAAAGAGCCCCAATCAGCTGATACTGTTAGCTTATGCTGTGAGAGGTCATTACGTTATGTTGGGGTACATTACATTACACAACGCAACAGAGACGGCTCTAGTCTTGGCCAAACCACTGGGAACCAGCACACCCCAGCACCCACACAGAGAATGAACCTCCACACCCAGCAGGAGAGCGAAAATACAGGCATCAAGGGGCGAGACCAGTATGTACCAGCCTGAAACAAACTCCCCTCGAGGCCTCCAGGCTCACATCTGCCCTCCCACCTGCTGGCTGCCCAAGGACTAGGAGTGGAGTTCACGCTTGTGATTTTGTTTTTTTGATGGAAATATGCACAGTCCACTCCTGTCCTACTGACACTGACCAGTGACACTGGTAGCACCGCCCACCCCCACTGTGCCATTGTTTTCGTTATTTCTCTTCGTTTGTTTGACTTGGTCTCCCTGCCCGCAGCCCTCCCGTCTGAGTTCTAGAATAGCACCGTGCATTGGGTCTCGTATCTATGAGTCTTGAAAAGAGCGCAACACGCCAGGGTGATGATCTTCCTCTTAGTGGAATAGTGATGTCGGGACAGTTGGCCTCGGGTTTGCCGGTTAACCAGGGCCCTGATCTCAAGGCCTCCGCTCACCTCCCTACCCTGCTGCTTCTTCCCACCCCTCAGTCTTGGCTCAGCTGCTCCCGTTGCTACACGGCAATGTGAACGGGAGCAAGGTGATCATCCAAGAGTTTCAGGAGCGCTGCCGCCAAGGCCTGCTCAGCAGGGAAGCTGGCAGCCCTGAGCCCCGTGCTGCCAGCCCCCCGAGCCCTGGCTCCTCCCGTCCGCCGACCCCCACCACCGCCAGTGAGGACACCGCCATTCCCTCCAAGGCCCGGCTCAAGCGGATCATTTCTGAGAACTCGGTGTACAAGAAGCGGCCTGACTTCCGGATGTGCTGGTACGTCCACCCGCAGGTGCTCCGGAGCTTCGACCAGGAGCACTTGCCCGTGCCCTGCCAGTGGAGCTACATCACTTCAGTGCCCTCAGCCGTCCGAAGCCCTGGGGAGGACAGTGGCAGCTCCCCTGCCGTGGCGCCCAGCCTTGTCACACCAACGTCACTGAAGAGGAAGTCAGCGGGCAGCATGTGCATCACGCAGTTCATGAAGAAGCGCAGGCACGATGGACAGGTGAGTGCCAGCACTGACCAGGGCGCGGGTCCCGTTGTGGCCATTGTCCTTTACAATTTTGGCGTTCATTTGATCTAATCGTTGAGCGCTTACTAAATGCCAGACACCCCATTCATCCCCATGGACAAACCCACTTAGTGAGAGAGACCCACAGGGTTTCCTGTCCAGTGAAGGACAAGCTGCAGTGGACAGTCAAGTGCAGTGCAGGGAAAGTATGTGGAGCCTCGAGGACAGATTAGGGGTGGGGGCACCAGGCCACACACTCAGTCTGCTTAGGAGCCCTAGATAGACTATTGGGTATGGGTGCCACCCACGAAGTGGGACAGATGGTTAGTAGGCAACAGTTAAGCACTTGGCTGTTAACCTAAAGGTGGACAGTTCAAACCCACCAACTGCTCCACAGGAGAAAGACTTGGCATTCTGCTCCCATTAGGGTTACAGCCTAGAAAGCCCGAGGGGGTTGCTGTGCGCTGTCATGTAGGGCCAGAGTCAACTTGACAGCAGCACCCATCAACAGGTCTGTGGTGGGCCTCTAAAAGCCACCCTGTGAGGACCATCTCGGGGATTCTGGCACGGGGGTCCCAGCACTACGCTCTGGTGGACACAAGTGTATTGTGGGTGGGAAGACTCTGAGTCGTTGGCTCTCTGGGGTGTGTTGGGGCCATCAGCTCACTGTTCCTCCTCCAGACACTCAGCAATGCGGCACTGCTCTGGAGCACTCACATTTGCTCAGATTACGTTGGGCTGTAGGTAGCAGAGCACTAGCAATGTGGCCTCAACACCTGTGGATTCTCTCCAGGGAAGGGGTGACGATTCGGCCAGGAGCTAAGGCTGCCTGGGCATGGGACCTTTGTCTTCCTGCTGCAAGCAGGTTTGGGATACCAGGTTTCCAGGGGGCTTTCCACTTGACTGTCAGCATAAATTCCACCTGTACCTTACTGGTCAGATTCTTTAGCTGCAAGAGAGTCAGAAAATACCATCTCAACACCCCAGACAAAATTCTGGTTCTTGTTAACAAGCGGGGTGGGGTTGGAGAATAGTGTTTGGGTGTGTGCTGAAAAGGGTCCACCTGTACCACACGTGTACACCACGTGAAAAAGGCAGGTAAAATTTAGAGGGTGGGATTGGAGGCCCGCTAGCTGATCTTTCTGCAAGCATGAAGCCTGTCTAAGCCAGTTGATTCTAACCTATACTCACCCCATGTGACAGAACTGTCCCATAGTGTTTCCTAGGCTGTAATCTTTACAGGTCTCCCAGGGAGCTGCCAGTAGCTTCAACCACCAACCTTTGGGTTAGCTGTGAAGCACTTAAACGCTGCGCCCCCAGGTTTCATTTGCTAAACTATAAAAGCATAATAAATCTTTTAGATGGGCTTGGTGTTAAGTGCCATCCAGTCGGTTCCAACTCAGTTGTTACTGTTAAGTTCCGTCGAGTCGATTCCGACCCATAGCGACCCTGTACAGGGTTTCCAAGGAGCAGCTGGTGAGCTTGAACCGCCAACCTTGAAGTTCAAACGGCTTTGCAGTCTGGCGCATTAACCCACAGCGCCACACCAGGACTCCGGCTATGTTAATGGCTGACAGTTTTCAAAGCCCTGTGTTCTGGACTCGTGGTGGAGCAAGAACTAGCTGAGACTGCAGCCCTACCACCACCACCACCTAGGTGCTCTGCTCTGGCCTTGGTTTAATCTGACAGTGGGGAGAGGGTGTTTTGCCCCTTTTACAAACAAAAAAATACTCCGATTAGAGTGAGACAACACCAGAGAATAGTAGGTATTGCCTAGACTCTGGGTCTGTTTGCTGGGCACCTTCCTGTCCACTGAGTACTCTGCATGGCCTTATCCGTCTCTGTTAGCACCTACAGTAGCCACAGGTGACGGGTGCTGCCTTCTCCCTTTCTTGCCTAGCAGGGCTGACTGAATTCCCTGTAGGATACTCGGTGAGGCCGGTCACTGGGAAGTTTTGGATCAAGAGAGGAGGCCTAGTTTAGCTACATTGGCCTTTCCTGTGGAGGGGCATGCATGCCCACTGTTGGCCAGTTGATGTGGGACTGAGGTCAGTTGACTCTGACGAACACAGCCAACTGCCACCTCCATGGCAGACTGGCCTTCGTCAACAGGAGAGGGGAGAAGCTCGGCCAGCAAGGGTCTCACGCTCTCCTCTGCTGAAACACTCTGTAAACACGTAGGCATCTCCTATTCCGGGGGATGGTGGGGGTGGTCCTGTCTCAGTGATGCCTCCATCACCCTATGAGGCGGGTCCAGAAAGACCTTTATGTAGACAGTCCCCAGTGGAATCCAGGAGCTAGGGATGTGTGGCCAGTTTCACCGAATCCTGGTGACCCCGTGGGTGTGTCAGAGTAGTACTCCACAGGGTTTTCAGTGGTTGATGTGTTCGAAGTAGATTGCCAGACCTTTCTTTTGATGCATCTGTGGGAAGTGTCTCGGTTAGCAGCCATGCAGGAAGCCAGCTGACTATTTGACCACCTGACCATTGGGTGACTCAGCTCTGTGTATGAGGGGTTCCAGATGTTTCAGCAGGTGGCCTCCCTGTGCTCTTCTCTCACATCCCTGCGCCTCTCCGGCCTGCTCTGCAGAGGTCCCACTGTGGCTAGTGTTTGCACCCACGCAGCTTAAGGTGTGGAGGGTTCTAAGCTTGAAGGAGACGGGCAGAGAGCCCCACTTACTGAGTCAGCCTTAGCTGTGGGTTTCAAAGCAAGAAGTCCACCTGCTTCGCTGTGCAGCCACTCCAAACGCCATGCCTCCTAGAGTCACTGTTGCTGGTTTGATGGTTGGTGTGGTGGCCAGCCAGCTGGAGTTAGTTCATGGTAAAGAACCTCGGGAGAATCAGCTGCCGGAAAGGGCCGAGGACACGGGATGTCTCTGGCCGCCTATGGTGGATGAGCGCTTCCTGGCACACAGGGTCACATGGGCCAGGAGCCCCTGCCATCACTGACGCCCCGCCCTCTTGTCTGCCCAGGTTGCAGCTGGGGACATGGATGGCTTCCAGGCGGACACGGAGGAGGAAGAGGAAGAGGAGGGTGACTGTGTGGTGGTGGACATTCCGGACACTGGGGGTGAGAAGGGGCGTGTTCCGGAAAGGGAGGAGCCTGCGTTCCCTCCCCGCTTCAGTTAGAATGAAATGAGGGTGGACGCGGAGATTCTATGGGCGGGGATTTGACTTTATGCTGATTGGTGGGACAGAACAGGACCACTGAGGGACCTGAGGGAGCCTGGCTCGTGGGAAGGGGTGGTCTGTGCCCAGTCAGTTCCTGGCCCCTGCCACACAAGGCCTGAGCTGCTTCAGGCGCCGGTGGTACTGGAGCGTGGGGGCCCTTTGTTGGGCGGTGCCGGGGCTTCCCTGGCTAAGGCGTCCTTTCTTGCCTTCCAGAGGCCCCGGCCGCGTGTGGCTCCCCCTCGGGAGAGGTGGGATCGGTGGGCATGGACACCTGTGAGGGCCCGCTGCCGGTGAGCAGGCTCCTCTTGTCCTGAGTGCCCGCGCCCTCGGCAGCTGGTCGATGGCCTGGGTGTCCTCGGCCACGCATCGGATACTTGAAAGTACGGCCGCCCCCGTGGAAAGAGCACTTTGTCCGTTTGGCAGACCTCCCCGGAGGGCTGGAAAGTTTATATAGGATGCTTGAGTAGTTCTCTTTGATATTTGTAAAAATTTCCCCAAAGCTGCCTATTAATGTGCCCCCTTTAATAAAGCATTACTGCAGCGCCGCGCCGCGCCAGGGGCTGGGGTCAGATGCTTGTAAATGAATTGGAGCCACAGTGTATAAACTTATTCTCCAGCCCTGACCTGGTCTGGGTGTATTCTTTAAACAGTTTCTTGTGGGAGGGGTGTGTGGCATTGTACCTACCCAAGGTGCCATCCCACCTCCTGCCCCCCATAGCCTGTGTGTCTTCCCAGAGGATTTCAGTTACTCAGCTAGGAGTGACCAGTGGCTGGCTTTTCCGCCTTGGAGTGCGGGAGGCTCAGCCAGAACATACTGCCTGGGTGGAAGCCCCATTTCCCAGGGGGCATTGAAACAGTTGTCACTTGCATGCCCCCAGGCAGAATACAGTAGCCCCTGCCTAGCCTTGTTGCCACCCCATGGTTGGTAGGGGATCCATGCTGGTTGCCATGCCATCCCCCCCAGTCTGTAAACTCTAATGACACCTGGTCAGCCCCCGAGACAGAAGGTAGTGGCTGTTCCTGATCTGCACTGAGAGGTGTGAACCCTGCTCGCCCACATGCAGTGGGAGATAGCCCAGTCCTGGGGGCTGGTGGGTTTCTCCTGGACAAGAGTAAACCTAGGCAGAGGCCTGTGGGCCCATTTTGTACATCTGCCCTCCCTCTCCAGTTATGGGGGTAGTGGGGTACACAGGACAATGGTGTTGGTTCCACAGACTTGGGAGCATTCCTGGGGGTACAGCCAAGTTGGGAGACCAGTCCGAGGGTCTCACTTCTCTTGGTAGCTCTACCCGGCTCTCCTCTAGGGACCTCACCGGCCCTCCCCCCCCACCGCAGGGTAGGTGTGCTTGATCTGGGCCAGCTCTTCCCTCTGTCCACCCCTGTACCTTCTGGAAGCACTAGGAGGAGTTCCCTTATATTCTAGGCCTGTTTCCTGGGGTTTCTGCACCAAGGGGGAACAGTGAGGGGCACAGGTCACCCAGAGAAGCCATTGGCCTGGAGCTGCCCAGACCTGGTCAACCATCCACACTGCACACCACCTGCTCCTCCGAATTAGCCACCAGGAAACGGTTCAAATAGCCTATTTATTCTGCCTCATCATGTTCATTACAGACATTTGCCCTGCTGTCCCGGCTCCCTCTCCTGCCACCAAGAGCAGTACCCTCAGTGCAGCTCTTAGGGCTCTGCCAGGCCTCCCACCTGAGGAGGGCCAACAGCTATCACCTGGTCAGTGGTCATGGGCACACTGACCGTGAGGTGGATACTTGGGTCTAATCATACCAAGGGCAGATCCCCCCCGGGATGGTGGTCACGCGCCTCCACAGCAGAGCTTAACTTCTCAGGAAGGGGGCTCTATCTAGCAGCCAACAGCCCCCCCTCGATGTGCCCCCTTGGGACATGCTGGGAGGACAGGGTGGGGTGATGGGGGAGCACAAGATGAACCCTCAAGCTGAACCCATCCTGCTTTTATTTCATGAGAGCTTCTCCATGTCAGACTGGAGCTCGGGTTTCAGGACCCAGGTGTCCGGCTCGGCGCCTGCAGCCCTCAAATCCTCTAGCACGGCTGTGTCCCACGAGAATGTCAGAAGAGCAGACGGCACCTGCGGGAGGATGCCCAGCTTTGTCTCTGGCTTCAACTAGGCAACCCCAGTACCCTACTCCCTTAGGCCACATCCCTGCAGCCCCATCCATTCTCTACAAATTTAACTCCATCTGGGCTCCAGAACAGATATTCCCTCCATCCCCATTTCAGAATGGAAATCAAGGCAGACAATTCAGGCACTCACTGGGCATCCCATCCCTGCCCAGGGTGCGCGCTCACCAGCCCGCACTCATTGAAAGCCAAGTTCTCATCTTCAGACAGCTTCAGGCCACCAGAGGCCAGCAGTTCAAAGGGCAGCCAGTCGCTCTGCAGGGCCTCTCGCACGAAGGAGAAGAGTGCTGACAGCCGCTCCCGGGCATAGAAGGTCCCTGAGGCCGCATGGGTGGGGGGACTATCAGGAAGGCCAGACTACTGCCACCCCCTCCCCACCCTCACCCCGCTGCACGCACCCTGCAGCAGGCAGCCATCGGGCAAGCGCACGCGCAGTAGCGTATACGTGTACTTGCGTAGCTCTCGCTGCTCCTCTTTCTCCCGCATGGCCTTGGTGCGCAGCACGCTCAGGCGCTCCACGGCATCCGCCCTGCGGAGAGAGCAGCTCAGTAGGGCTGTGGGGATGGGGACCACACCACCCTTCACCTAGCCGGGCCCCTGCCCACCTGAGCCGCTGCTCCCGCCGGAGCTCCTCGGCCGTCAGACTGAAGAAGTCCCCAGGCAGGTCGAACTGGGTGGCCAGGGGCGAGGGCTGGAAGACACGGCGCTGGCGATCCAGCGTAGCCCGCACGGGCTCGGCGCCCAGCAGCTGTTCCTTGTGCCTCTCCAGGTTCTCAGGCTGTGTCCGGGCCGCCTCGCCCAGCACATAGAACTCCTCCTGGTCCTCTGTGGTACGGCCAGTACTGCCACTCAGTCCCCATCACCGCAAGCACCCCAACCCTGTCCAGGAGCCCTCGACTCCCCCTGCCCCCTGTGCAGCCTGTCCTGCCCCGACACTGCCCACCCTCCACAGAGGCCCTTAGCCCTGCACCCCCACTACACACACAAACACATTCTTTGTTCCCTCTGTGGCCCCATCCCCTGTGCAGCCTGTCCCACCCCCATGCTGCCCACCCCCCTCAGAGGCCCTTAGCCCTGCACCCCCACTACACACACAAACACATTCCTTGTTCCCTCTGTGGCCCCCTTACCCTGGTCAGGAACCGGAAGCATCACCTTCTGGAATCCGATGGCCTCAAAGAATTCATGGGTCCCTTCCAGACAGTGAATGCGCTCCTGGGGCAGGCAGTGTGTCAGGTGGGCCAGGACCTCCTTGAACCCCATTGTCCCCTGCCCATCACTGCCCTGGCCACACCCCAAGGCCCAGACCCATTTTCTGGGTGGATGTGAAGCCCCTGGTGTCTGCAGAACAGAGTGCAGGCACATGCTGCTACGGAAAGGCTGGGGGCTTTCAGCAGCTCCCCAGAGGTTGTGGAACCCTGGACAGTTCAGAGCCAATGATCAGGAGTGAAGGTCCCAAAAATGGGGAACATGGGTTACGGGGGTGTGCTGGGATCCCTGGGGAGGGGGCCACACCAGGTGTGCATTCTGTGCCTGACACCCATCAGGCCAGGGCAGAACCACCACCTCTGAAAACGGCCAAAGCCTGTGGCTAAGTAAAGTCTCCCTGTGTCCACGTGTTCCTCACACTAAGGCTGAAGAGAACGCACCTGAAGGACAGTTCCCAGGGGTGTACACAGTTAAGCTCTCAACTTCTCACTGAACCCACCTAGAGGGTAGAGGGGAGCCCTCTGGGGCAAAGTTCCACCCTGCACAGCTGGGGGCGCCAGGAATCACCAAGGCCAGGACAACACACTGAGAGCATCTTCCATGTACAAGCAGGAGGTCACTGTCCTGACCCCAGGGCCTGCACATGTGGCCTTGTATAGAACCGGGGTCTTTGCTGGTGGTTATCAGTTAACACAAGGTCACATTTACAAGAAAGATACCAGGTTATCAGTTAACACGAGGTCACATCTTATAAGAAAAGACACCAGGTGAAGACAGGCAGAGACTGGAGTGATGCAGTCACACGCCAAGGAACAGCTGGAGCTATGGGAAGCTGGAAGAGACCGGAAGGAGCCTCCTGGGGAAGCCTGGCCCTGCGGCACTCTGCCTTTGGCTTTCGAGCCTCCATCACAGTGGGATGAAAATGCACTGTGTTCAGCCGCCCTGGCAGACAGCCGCTCTCACCTGGAACACCTTGTTCTGCAGCTTGATCTTCTGATACTTCTCCTCCTCTGGATGCAGGTGGATATTATCCAGGTACCTGTGGGGGATGGACCAGAGCTCAGAGGAAGACGTCAACACTGGAACGGGAACTCCTGAGCCCACACCAGAGCCCAGGAAGGAGCCAATGCCAGTGTTCACGGCTGCACCTCTGCCTCAATCCTGCCTCCAACCCCAGCATGGAGACCTGGACTCCTGAGCACCCCGAGTATACGGCAGTGGTGTGCACAGAGCCAGAAAAGTGGGCTGCCAGAGCTGAGCACTGCCCTCCGCACCCCAAGCCAGGGAGACTGCCAGACCCACCACCCAGATCTCCAACCACAAGGGTGGTCCTTTGATGATCCTCAAGAGAAGCCTGCAATGGAAGGCCCTGTTTTGGTATACACCCTTGTTTCATTACATATGGGGAACCTGAGGCCCAAGAGGCAAGGGTCCCTCCCGTCAAGCAAGACCCTGGGGGTGGGACTCCACAAAGGCCCCCTCACTTGGCAATGGTGTCCACGCCCAGCTTCACCCGGTCTCGGTCTTTGTTGAAAGTGTGGATCTTCATGATGGAGGCAGCCACTGGGTCTGTGGAGAAGTGCTGGGCAGGGAGAGAGGGACGGAGCTACTGAGTGGTACAAACGGCTGGCATCCAGGTTAGAGGTTCGAGTCCACCCAGAACTGCCTCAGAAGCAAAGCCTGGACGTCTACTTTTTCATTGTGGGGATTACAATTAATGGGAATCAGAATGTGTATGAACTGTTCAATGAAAACCAATTTGTTCTGTAAACTCAAAATCACAATAAAAAACTAGTGACTATAGAGACTATAACAAAAAAAATAAAAACACAACCCTTATGTCTGTCCCCCTTGGTAGTGACTCAGGTGAGAATGACAACATCAGTAGCAAGCATCTACAGGTGCCTCATGGGAGCTGATTCACTAAGTGCTTGGTGAGAAAAGGGCAAGTCTTTCTAACCCCCACCCACTAGCCCATCACCCTTTCCTGTCTCTGGGGACCAGGGAGCCACAGCCAGAACAGGGAGGGGGAGTCCTTCTCAAGGGCAAGGTTTATTCACCTTTGTGTGGCTTTTGGAGGAGGGGGCTCCAACTTGCCCACTGCCTGCCACTCAGACACTGGAGGCCCACTGACCCTGCCACACTGTCCTGTCCCTGCACAATCCCAGTTTCTAGAAACGGACTGGGCTATCAAGTGCCTCATCCAGCAGAGCTGGCACCTGCAGCACCCCCACAGGCCCACCCAGCATCCCTCTTGCCTCCAGGAAGGAGATGTGGAGTCATGGTGGGCCACCAACACATCTGGGGGAGACAGGTGTGCCATGCCCAGGATGATAGCCCTAGAGTCTGCTGTTCAGGTAACAGCAAATCTCTCACCTGGTCAACTCACAGCAACAGGCAGGACAAGCTCAGAGCTCTGGGGAATGGTGTGCACCGACCCCAGGTTGGCTCACAGGGGTTCAAGAGAGCCTCCCAGCAGCCAGACAGGTGCCCAGCCCCAACCAGCCTGCCCACCGAGTGGAGGCAGGGAGAAGGGTAGAGAAGAGGAGGCCAGGACACCTCCGTGCCCGCCCAGCCAGAGCCTCCTAAGGACTCAGCCCTGGAGACAGAATTCAGCAGCCCTGGGGACAGGCATCCCACCCCCAGGAGACCTGCAGTCTCCCTGACATCAGCAGACAAGGGACCAAGGAAGAGAACATCCCGGTGGAGGTTTACTCTGTGATTAAAGTCAGGGTTCACAGCAGGGAAAGACAGAAAAGGATTTTCAATAAACAGGGTTGGTGGGGGACGGGGTCAACATGGGCTCCACATCACATACTCTGGTTCATTTCGAAGTTTTAAACATGAAAACAACACAACCACAAACAACAAAACAGAAACGTACTAGAAGAAAACCCAGAAGAATTATTTTGTGGGAGGGCTTGTCTCAATACGACCCCAAACCCAGAAGCCCTAAGACTAGCAAACTCAATTCCATAAAGATGAAATTTCCTACACAGCAAAGGGACCACAGGCAGAAACCAAAAAAATCAATAATGGGGGTAAGATGTTGCCCTAATATATATAAGAACATCTATCAGTCACCAAGAGAAAGACTAAGCAGCCAACAGATAAACGGGCAAAGAATGCCTTCTTACATGAGAACACAGCCGACCTAGCCCAAAACGCAAGGAGTGCAGATGAAAACGCCTGGTACTTGCCCTCACCTAGTGAGCAGATGAAAGTGCCTGGCATCAGACAGTGGACTGCTGAGGGTCAGAGAAATGGGCGGGCACTTCTTCACCTGGTGCTGGTGGGAACCTAAATCAAGAGACCCCTACACAGGACCTCAGGTAAAACTACTGCCATAGAGGTCATTCAGAGCTGCCCCACAGTGTTTCAAATGGAGCAGATCACCAGGCCTTTTTCCCGCCTAGCCACTGGTAGATCCTGCCACGGACTTTTCAGGTTCACTGATGAGCACTTAGCCACTGTGTCATCAAGGCCCCTTCAATGACAGGTGCTGCAGACTGACTGTATCCCCCCCAAAATCTGTGTCACTGCCGAGACCACGACTCTCAGTATTGTGCAATGTCTCCAGTGTGTGATCTGAGGTGATTATCCTAGGTGCTGTAAATCCTAACCTCTAGGATGTTACTAGGAGTCTTGGCACGGCGCTGTAGGATAAGCACTGGACTGCAAGGTCAGTGGTTCAAACTCACCAGCCACTCCCAGAAACCTTAAACAGGGTTCCCATGAGTCAGAACCGCCTTGAAGTGAGTGGTAATGTTACTGAAGCAGGATTAGAGGCATTCATGTTAAGGAGGCGGGATGGATCTTCAGTCAATCTCTTTTGAGATTTGTTAAGTGTCCTTGAGTTCTGACTCATAACTACCCAGTACAGAGTTTCTGCGGAGCACTTGGTTGGTTCGAACTGCTAACCTTGTGGATAGCAGTCCAGTATTGATTCTACAGAGTCACAACATGACTCCATTTTGAGATATAAGAGAGATTAAACAAATGCACAGAACTCAGAGGGACCTACGACCACCAAGAAAGAAGAGCTGAGAGTGGATATCTCCCTGTGCTGAGATCCTCCTAGACTCAGGGGAAGACTGATGCCAACCCCACGGCACATGGAGATCTCCAAGTGACATTTTAAGCTTCCCCTGGAGCTAACAGAGAGAGTCCACCTCTACATCTGGTGCCCTGAAGTCTCACTTGCAGCTTCCTACACTATGAAATAACCACTCGTCTGTCCATTTGTCATACTGTGGTGGCCTGCATGTTGCTGTGATGCTGGGCGCTATGCCATGGATATTTTTAATACCAGCAGGGTCACCATGGTAGACCGTTTCAGCTGAGCTTCCAGACTAAGACAGACTAGGAAGAAGGAGAGGTGATCACTTCTGAAAGTTTAGCCATTGAAAACCTTATGAATATCAGTGGAACACTGTCAGATAGTACCAGAATAATGAATACTCAAACAAGATAAATTCAAGTCTCAACTTCAACATTAAAGGATTCTACGGGCAATATACAGAATGATTGGCTACCCAAAGTTGGGGGGGGAGGGGCTACAAAGGCAAGAAGTGACTGGCGGCTTACAAGCTTTCAAGAGGAAACCTAGATCCAGAGGGTGCGGAGGAAGGTAGAATCTCCACTGAGTAGTATTCAATCTGTCTCCAAGGGGCTGATGAAAGGAGATGCGGATAGGTCTCTTGTGATACAATAGTGAATAATTGTTATCAGGACTGATTGTGAGGGTTGGAAATGTAAAAGTAGACGTTTTGTAGCAAAAAGGGAGCGGTTGACTTTGCAGTCTAGGAGCAGAGGTGCCTGGGTCCATCAAGGGAGAAGAGCGGAGAATGGGACCCTACCCAGAGAAGCAGTGATACCTGAGATGGAGGCAGAGACGATGACATGGAGAGATGGAGCAGCTGGGGACTTCAGACCCAGAGAGGGAGAGAGGCTGTGTGCTGACGACTGGGGGGCAGGCTTGCAGGGTATACCCTTTGGTCGGTTGATGATGCATGGAGGGGATTGTAACCACAGCAATGAAACGATATACGATAGAATGAACGTAAAACTAATGTTCTCCCATGTAAACTATCACATAATTCACAATAAAACATTAAAAAAAAACAAACTCAAAATCACAAAAAAGACCAGGTTAATTGGTCAGATAGAGACTGGCGGAACCCTAGAGACTATGTCCCTTAGTCACTCTTCAGGTCTGGATCAATTTTTAATCCAAGAACATACAGGTCTGTAAGGGGAATAATAACACTCACTAGTGAATAAGAACACAATAGAATAGTCATCCATTTGAGATCCAAAGGGCAGCACTGACCCAAGGACAAAGTTCAGGAGAATTAGGAAAGAAGGCAGAATGGAAACAGGAAACACAGGGAGGAAGTGGGATGAGTGATGTTACATCAATGAAATAGAACAAAATGTGTCTGCATTGTTGAATGGATAACTGATCTGCTCTGTAAAACTTTCCCCAATTCACAATAAAAAGTTTTTTGTTTTTTTTTTAAATAAATAATAATAAACTGAATGATGCAGAAAGCATCAAAGGAAGATACAAGGAATACACAGTCACTGTACCAGAAAGAAATGGCTGATGGTCAACAATTTCAAGAGATAGCAGCATATGCTCAAGAGCCAATACTGAAGGAAGAAGAAGTCTAAAATGCACAGAAGGCATTGGCAAAGAACAAGGCTCTGGAAATAGGTGGAATACAAATTGAAGTCTTTCAACAAAGAGATGCAGCACTGGAGGCACTCATCTATGCCATGAAATTTGGAAGAAAGTTACCTGGTCAACAGATTGGAAGAGATCCATATTTGTGCCCATTCCAAAGACAGGTGACCCAAGGGAATGCGTCAATCATCAGACGATATTATTATTATTACATGCAAGTGAACTGTGCTAGAGATAATTCAAAAATGGCTGCAAGCTGCAACAGTATATTGACAGGGAATTGTCAGAGGTTCAAATCGAATTCAGATGAGGACATGAAACGAGCGATATCATTGCTGCTGGCGTGAATGGGATAGATCTTAGCTGAAAGCAGAAAATACCAGAAAGATATCTGTGCTTTACTGACTATGCAAAGACTTCCAATTGTGTGGCTCATGACAATGTATGCAAAACATTGCAAAGAATAAGTATTTTCAGCCACTTAATCATGTCCATGAGGAACCTGAACACAGACCAAGAGGCAGTTATTCAAACAGAACAAGGGAACTCTGAATGGTTTAAAATCAGGAAAGGTGTATGTCAGAGTTGTATTTTGTCATATTTATTTAACCTGTAAACTGAGTAAATGATCTGAGAAGCTGGATTGGAGAAAGACTCATTAAAAACCTGCAATATTGCTTGCAGAAAGCAAAGAGGATTTAATATACTGACTGATGAAGATCAAAGACCACAGCCTTCAGTATCAGTTGTACCTCAATGTAAAGAAAACATGAACCCTCAGTACTGGACCAATAAATAACATCAAGATAAATGGAGAAAAGACTGAAGTTGTCAAAGACTTCACTTTCTGGATACACTATCAACACTCATTATTCAAATTTATGCACCAGAAG